ATCACGTCTCTACCCTTCATGACCCGTTCCAGGTTGCTGCCATTTGAGGCATATGAGCCCGTTCACACTATTCGTATTGTGTGGTTCTTCTTGATCTTTTTGTTTCTTTGTTTGCTTTTTAGTGTGTATGTTCCATTTAATGCAGTGACACTGTCATGACTGCCTCAAAAGTTACATGAGCAGTCTGTAAAGCAAATGGCAACAACTGATGCACCTACCTAGGTGAATTGTGACAGTTTTGCTTCAGGGCAAAAGAAAAAAAACTACATAGTTGCAGCTGTTGTGTTGGTAGGTTAAAGACAGTAAAAACACTTCAAAATATTATTCAAAAAACCTTGTGAGACAAGTTGAAGAGTCACTTGTGTCTTGGTTGCCCAAGTGTAAGCATTGCCATTTTAACACATGAGAGATTTTCTACCAAAGGCCTATGTTTGACTTTCAGTTCAGGAATTCATCCAGTAACTAATCATTTCCTATTGATTTAGACCACTGTCTTTTGGGAAAATAAATTGCTGTGTATGAAGCAGAAGTAAATTAGGCTGCTCCTTGTCTACCTATACATGAGTATCAAATAATGTTAGCCACTTGTGATTTTTTTTTTGGGGGGGGGGACAGGGATTTTTTATCTCCCTGTCCCCCCCAGGTATATAAAATCCTTTACCAGAGGATTTTTTATATCCTCTGGTAAAGGGACAGAGGATATAAAAAATGAAAGGGGAATAATTATTTGAATGCTAGAGAATTACTTCAGAGTATAAAACATTTTAAATGCATCAGACTTTGTACCTAAGGCTTGAAATAGCTATGTCTATATTGGGCAATTTTATATTTGTTGGTATGTAAGAAAATAAATTTAAGATGTTAAAATATTGTAATGTATTTAATCATGTCTTTTAAAAGCAAAGTTAATGACTATCATTGACGAAGTTAAGATGTAAAACACATTATAAAAGAGACCTGAAAATTGTGCCTGTATATATTCATTTATGTGTAGTAGATATCTAAGCCCATATATAGGTATCTTTTTATCTTAAAGATATGGACCTTGGTAGCTGGTTATCTGTTGACCGTTTCATTCAAGTGGAATGCAAGTACTGAACGTTACCTGAGGGCAATCTCTGTTCCTGTCTGGATAATATTGCTCTTCCACTTAGGTGGGTGACATATAATTATGCTTACTTTTGAAGAGATAAATCTGCAATAGTCAGAAAAGAAGAACTTGAAAAAAGAATTTGGTGGGGGGGAGGGGGATGGATTCCTAATTAAGATCCCACCCTTTTGCACTACACTGTGGCTCTAGGGATCAGAATTGTGGCTGGAAATGGCTGCCAGAGAACTCCTTGCTGCTGTAAAGCTGATAGGACATGGCTTCTATACACCCATAGTGCCAGCTTCATGGAGAGGGAAGTGGTGTGGTGAAGCTCTGTCTGTCTTCCACTGTTATAAGTACGAACAAGTGAAAAACTACTCTATTTCCTAGGGCTTGGTGTTGGCTTGTCCTCAAAAATGAAGGACTTACTGGTTCCCTGATCGGTTCCTTTTTCTTTTCTTGTAGAGACTAGATATGGGAGAGAATATGGTCCTTCACTTGTAATTCTTCTTTTCTTAAATTCCCAAAAAGAAGTTCAGTATTAAAGATTAAAGGTTTAAAAGACATCCAGTTAGAACCAAAATGAAAAAAAAAATCTTTCTAGAGCCATTCTGAACTTATAGAGGATGCATTCCCTCAAGGAAGTGAGGAAGTATTCTCTACCAACCTCTTAACAAATTATCATATTTTAAAATAATAGTAAAATGTAAGCTTACAAAGAGAGACAGAAATGCTATGTTTCTCATTTCTTATAGCATAGCTGGGTTCCTTGTCATTGCAAAATGATGATGATAAGCTCTTACCTTGAACTGAGCTTGTTACTACATTTTACTACTTATTTATTTTTACTTTATTTTCTTTAGAAGTTTGGCCAAGGAGCCCTGTGAGACTGTTTCATGGTATTTTTTTCTTTTATAAACCATGGGTTTTAAATCTGCTGACCATGTATATATTTTCCAACAGCAGGGGTTAGCAAACTTTTGTGACCACTGCTTGTGACCCAGCCAGCACTGCTGGCTGCAGATCTCCATAACCTCCAGTGATCTGCTGCGGAAGGAGTAGACCAGGGGCTGGCAACATTTTTTTGCAAAGTGCCAAAAACACCCACAACCTCGACTTTTAAGATGTTGGTGTGTCAGGGGTGGACAGCAGGGGAGTTACGAGAAGCCCAATCCTTGCTATGGCAGCGCAGCCACAGCCCCTTCCCTGTTGTCTGCCCTGAGGTTGCGTGCCAAGTAAAATGTCTTCGTGCGCCATGCTATGGCACCTGTGCTTACCACTGGAATAGACCGAATGAGGCAGGTGGTAGGATGCTGGAAACAGTTCTGCTGTCCTGGCTGCAGCCTATTCTCTAAACTGCCAGAAATCAGATCCAGTCTCTTCATGGGCCAGATCTGCCCCGCGGGCTGTAGGTTCTTGATCCCTGCATAGAAGTTAAATCAAATTATTGAGGAAAAACATGTGAAAAACAATTAGAGTGAGTGTTGAGAGACTTAATATGTTTAAGCTTTTGTAGGAATAGGGGGAAATAGATACAATTTGCACATTTGTATTAGACACTGATACTTGTAAGTAGATATATTCAAGCAATAGCCATTGCCCTCCGTGTGGCCCATTTTCTGTTAATAATTTTGTCAAATGTGTCAAGTTCATTTATAATCTGGAAAACTTTGCTAAAAAATCTTTTATGTTTTTTTTTAGCTTCGGTGGCTGGTTCTTGGCGAATTCCACTATTTCTGGTAATAGTTTTTCTGATGACTGTTGGCATGTTGCATGAGCAACAGATTGGAAAGGAGTCTTCTGGTAAGAAATAAATTGCTTTTCTGGTATTATCCAAAGTAAATTTGTGAAAAGTGGAGGATGGAAAACTTAAAATAGTTTAGATTACCTATGAGGTTAATACCATACAGTTTATATAAATGTACTCTGTTGGAGAGAAATTGAGTGTTTTTTTCCCCTAATGTTAAAAAAGGGATTGTAATAGTTTATACCTACTAAAACAACATCTTTGTTTCTATTTAACATATTAGTGAGTTCAAATACTAATAGTAGACCAGTGTGTTTCTGTAATAACTTCATAGTTAAGTCAGAGTCTATACATTTAATGTAAAATAAGATTTCGGTCTCTTCCCTTCACTTTTTTTGTTGGTGTGACCACATGCTTGAAGACTGACTTGTCTACATGAAGAAGGTACTGTGAAGTAAATTGGAGTGTGATTTTACAGCATAGTTTAGCTAATCGGTTAACTTCTTGTGTGGAGACTCTTTAGCACCCAGTAAATACTTAGTAATAGGTAATCCACACTGTAAATTCATACCCCGACTTACTTCACAGCAAGTTGTCCATGTAGACAAGTTCCTGAATTGTTTAAAGAAGAAAATATAGATAATACTGTCTGAGAATTTGAGCAACACATACTTAAAGATGTTTCCTAACAAGTCAAGTACCACCTTCTATTTTTTTTAACTTGTGCAAACTACATTTCTGTGGCAAAATATTTATTTTCAGGTTTCCATACTTTGCACTGGCATTGGCAATTAGACAGATTTGTCTGTCAGAGCATTCTTTGGGATGAAATTATTTAGGAGTCTTAATCATTTATACTGAAGCCATGGAGAATCATTCATGTTTGCCACTGTTTTTGTGATTTTCTTTTTTTTTTAATTTGATTACTTCCACAATCAAAGATCACATATATAGTCACTTTTACAAAGACTTGTAGAGAAGATGAACTTGGGCTTGGGGAGGAAAGGTAGAATGGAAATGGAGGGGGCCCTCCTCTTCTTTCCCCGCTTCTAATGATGGGGAAACAGAATTTAGAAGGTTTGAAGAGCCATTTCATTTCCTCCTCATTTTGTGGTTCCTTCATTCCACATAGAGAGCTCTGAACAATCAAAAACCTTTGTTCGTTCAACTGGTTCCTTGGAAATATTCAGCAGATCTCAGAGGGTAAAGAAATCTCTTAGACTTCCTTCTGCCTTTCCTTAAAAAGGTTTCCTGGGGAATGAAAGGAAGCATAAATATTTTAAATAATTTTAGGAACCTAAGAAGCTACCTTAATAGCTCAAGCTCAAGTCAAATTGTGAGTACATAGCAATAATTTAAGGTTTCCGAGTTCTAGAAAACCTTCAATTGATTTGGGGCATGGGGGGAAAGCAGGATGCTCAGAGTTAGGATTGAAGCAGGAAATTTAGGTCTTGGATTGAACTTTAAAAGAAACACACATTTGAAAGCATGGAAATGCACAGTTAAACTTATTTGCTTCTGTAATGATTTGCAAAGGAGACTGAAATTTAGCCACTCAAGTTTGTGGTTTGTTGGTTTTTTGGGGTTTTTTTTTTTTTTTAATCCTTAATCAAAAGTGCTTAGAATACCTTATTTTAATGTTTTCTCCTTACGATTCATGCATGCAGATTCCGAGAATAAGATATAAATCTGTTGCTTCAGACGGAACTTAATTCTCTTATATACCATCTGTATGCTAATTCCTTATTTTTGGATAAAGAAAGCTCCTTCTGATTGATCAGATTTTTGGTGCGCTACTTAGTCAGCCATAAAGAAACTTAATCTGGTTAGCATGTGGTTGTTAACAAGAATTTGAGCATTCTGAAGCCTCTGAGTAGTGATTTTTTTTTTTTTTTTTTTATCCTCTGAAATGATTCTCCTAGAAGTTGTCCAAACAGTTATCCAATTTCAGGTTTATCTAAAGGCTATCAATTATTTTCTAGGCTACTATGTACTTGTGTGCATTTGTTTTCACAGGGACAGAACTTCCTGGTCAAATGATTTCCATTGCGGCTTCTGCAATTGCTATGGCAATCACAGGATATGAGTCAAGTAACGAAGAACATTCATCACAACCCTCAGGTGACTGAACACTCTGTAAGAAAACATTTGAATTTGTTCTAACAGCATGAAATAAAGGGTTCCCCCCACCCACTCACAAACAATCACATTAATTCCCATGAAATTGATGCATTTAGTTAAAAAAAAAAAAAAAAAGTAGGAGAAAAATGCAGCAGTAGTAACATAATTTTAGTTTTTAATGATTGATCCGTTAAAAATATATAAACTGCTGCCTGCAGGGGCAGAAGTGGTTGTTGCACTTGGCAACTGAATTTTTAACCTATTGCTTTATGAACTGATGCAACACTCAGTTGATGAATAGCAGAAAGGCTTACTTTAATAACTATTAACAAGCTACAAAACTCAATGACAGAAAAGACTCTCCCAGTATGAAATAAGCTATTAGCCCTTAGTATTATCTTAGTTGCACAGAGATTTTTACCTGATGCAGGCAGGAAACAGTTTTTGTACAGCCTCAAAACGTAGATCCTTCATTTGTTGCCTGGGTGGCAGGATGGCTTCTTGGACTGTACACACCTTGCTGGCAAATTGCTTAGTTTTTATACTGTTTAATTGTATAGATTAAAAGCATTTTTCCTTGATGGTTGGCCAATTAGAGTCCAAACAAACAGGGAGAAAAAGGTTGATCATCATAACACATCTGTCAGTTGCCCGGATCCTGTTCTGGATTTGTCTAGGTGTGAAGACTGTGTTTTTTCCGCAGCCCCTGCAATTATAGGTCAGTTTATAGGTGATGGGTCTGAGTGGTCCAACAGGATCTTCTAGAGGTGTCACCAAACCCGTTTTGGGAAATGTTAGGATGTCACATACAAGACATCTTGCCAGTATTCAATGCACCTTTTACAGGTTTCTCTTGAGATGCATATTTAGTTTTTTTGTTTTCTTTAGCTGCTAGGTCAATTGAATGTAGTTACCTCGCCTTCACTGGCTCAGCCTTTTCGTGCTTTTGTAGGTACACATGTGTGATGAGTGGGTCAGGTCTCTGCCAACAATTTTAATCACTTTTATTATTTTGTGGCATGGGTCTGATATTGAGTACTGCAAGCACTCCACTGTCTCAATGCCTAATGGGTTGCAAGCCATTAGTGGAGTTTGATTTTCTTGTGGCAGTTTTATCACCACAATCCAGTCTTGTTCCAGCCATTGTCTTGTACACTGTCCAAGCTTTCACAGTTTTCATATGCAGCAGTGCTAACTAGGAGGGGTTTTCTTTTAGAGTTTGTATTCTTGCTTAAAGCACTTTTCTTTATTTCCCTTCCTCTCCTTGACACTTTGGCAGTAGTAAGACAAAGGCTTTGTGACTGAACAGAGGTATCCTGTAACACATTTTCTAATGCAAGACTGAGCAGCATGGTAGAGGTAGAAGTTGGTCTTGATTTTTCTGTTTGGTTGTGATGTAAGTCTGTACGTTATTTCTGCCAGTTAGTTTAATATGGTATGCACATTTACCTGTATTCTCTCTACTGGCTTCCTTTATTTAGGTCATCTGTAAGCAGTGATCCATAAGCAGTAAGAATGAAACTTTGAGAAGGACGTTGGTGGACAAAAGAGCATTAAACAGGCCTCTGATAGAAAAGTCTTATGGCAAAAAAAGCACAGGCTACTGCAAAACTAAGCATGTATTCTTAAAAGCATTATCTTGCCTTTAACTAACTAAATAGTGTTTCATAAGACAAGACATAAAAATCATATAAGAAGGTGTTTCAGATGCATAGTCTGGTCCCCTTCCGTGGGCAGGAAGTTATTGGGCTCAGACAAGCTTGACAAGGTCCAGCTCATCTCAAACACCTCCAAGCAGGGTGACTACACCATCTCTGCTGGGACTGTGGTCCATATTCTGGTGACCCTTACAGAGAAAGTTCTTCCTTATATCTAGCCTGAATTTACCCTCTATTAGCTTATGCCCGTTGGTCCTTGTCCTCCCTTGAGGTACCTTCCTGAAGAGTTGCTCCCTTAGATCTTGATGTTCACCCCTGATGTACTTGTAGGCAGCTATCAAGTCACCTCTCAGCCTTCTCTTATTCAGACTGAACAGGCCTAGTTCCTGGAGTCTCTCCCGATAGGGCCCATCCTCCATGCCCTTGACCCATATGGGTGGCCCTTCTTTGTACCCCAGTGCCAAATAGACAAGGAGGAATACCTCTCTGGATCTACTGGCCACACATCAACTGATGCACGCCAGCGTTCTCTTTGCCTTTCTGGCAACCTCATTGCACTGTTGGCTCATTCATCTTCTGGTAGATCATGACCCCCAGGTCTTGTTCAGATGCTGTGCCAGCCAGTGGACCAGCACCCATTATGTATGTATGGTGAGGGTTCTTCCTACCCAGATGAAGGACTTTGCGCTTCTCCCTATTAAACCTTATCTGATTCCATTTTGCCTGTGACTCCAGTTTGTCAAGGTGGTCTTGGATCTTCATCCTATCTGATGTGCCCTCATTTCCCCACAGTTTTGTATCATCCACAAACTTAATCATCATTCAAGGAATTAATAAATCTATTAAAGAGCATGAGTCCGAGCACCGATCCCTGGGGGACACTACTAGAGACAGCCCTCCAGAATGAGGCCATTCCATTGATTACCACCCTCTGGGAGTGGCCTCTAAGCCGATTGTCTACCCACCTCACTGTAGACTGGCCAGCCAAGTACCCTCCAGTTTATTTGAGAGAATCTCATGGGAAACTGAATCAGAGCCTTTACTGAAGTATAAGTAAATCACGTCAACCTCATGTCCCTCATCCAGATGGCTAGTTACCTAGTCATAGAATGACACAAGGTTTGTCAGGCATGATCCGCCCTCAACCAAGCTGTGCTGGTGCTTCTTAATATTACCAGCGTATAATTGATGGACTCCTTAACAAATTTTGCAAAGATGTTACCCAGAACCAAGGTTTCATAGTTTCAAAGTTGGTAGGGTAGGAAGGGACCTGAGCAGATCATCGGGTCCGACCCCCTGCCATGGCAGGAAAGAGTACTGGGGTCAAACGACCCCGGCGGGGTGTTCATCCAGCCTCCTCTTAAAGACCCCCAGGGTAGGAGCCAGCACCACTTCTCTTGGAAGTTGGTTCCAGATCCTAGCCGCCCTGACAGTGAAGTAGCGCCTCCTGATATCTAGCCTGAATCTACCCTCTGCCAGCTTGTGACCGTTATTTCTTGTCACTCCTGGGAGTGCTCGGGGGAACAGGGACTCCCCCAATACTTGCTGGTCCCTCCTGACTAATTTGTAAATCGCCACTAGATCCCCCCTCAGCCGTCTCTTGTGGAGGCTGAACAGGTTCAGGTCCCTTAGCCTCTCCTCGTAGGGCCTGCCCTGCTGACCCCTGATCACGCGAGTGGCCCTCCTCTGGACCCTCTCCATGTTGTCCACATCCCTCCTGAAGTGTGGCACCCAGAACTGGACGCAGTACTTCAACTGCAGCCTGACCAGTGTCGCATAGAGGGGGAGGACCTGCTTGAGATGCATCTGTGGATGCATGACCAGGTACGGTTGGCCTTCCTGACCGCGTCCCCACACTGTCAGCCCATGTTCATTTTGGCATCAGTAATGACACCAAGATCCTTTTCTGCCTCTGCACTGATGAGAAGGGAGTTCCCCAGCGTGTAGGTATGCTGCTGGTTCTTCCTCCCCAGGTACAGCACCTTGCACTTGTCAGTGTTGAAACCCATCCTATTCTCATCCGCCCACCCCTGTAACCTGTCTAGGTCCAATTGCAGCCTATTCCTCCCTTCTAGCATGCCCACTTCTCCCCACATCTTAGTGTCATCTGCAAATTTGAACAGGGTGCTTTTTACACCTCTGTCCAAGTCGCTGATGAAGATGTTGAACACTGCAGGGCCGAGGACCGAGCCCTGCGAAATCCCACTGCCCACATCCCTCCAGGTGGAATAAGACCCATCCACCACCACTCTCTGGGTGTGGCCCTCCAGTCAACTAGTGACCCATGTGACTGTGTAGGTGTTGACACCAGTCTCCTAGTTTTTTAATGAGAATGGGGTGAGAGACAGTGTTGAAGGCCTTCCTAAAGTCCAGAAAGACTGCGTCTGCTGCTACCCCTGTGTCTAAGGATTTTGTGACCTGGTCATAGAAGGCCACCAGTTTGGTTTGACAGGACCTGCCTCTAATGAACCCATGTTGGTTGCCCCTAAGCATAACCTCCCCTGCTGGCCCCTTGCAGACATACGCCAGGATAATTCTCTCAAAAAGCTTATCCAGGATTGAGGTAAGACTAACTGGCCTATAGTTTCCTGGGTCCTCCTTCCTCCCTTTTTTTGAAAATGGGAACTACATTTGGCCCTTTTCCAGTCCTCTGGCACCACGCCAGAGCACCATGAGTGCTCGTAAAGCCATGCCAGGGGTCCCTTATAGCAGCACCATTGTTTCTGGCTTATAGTTTCCTGGGTCCTCCTTTTTTTGGCAGGCTGACCGGTCTGTAGTTTGTCGGGTCATCCCTCTTCCTTTTCTTAAAGATGGGCACCACATTGGCCCTCTTGCAGTCATCTGGGACCACTCCTGAGTTCCGTGATTCTTCAAACAACTTGGCCAATGATGCTGCTATAAGCTCAGCCAGTTCTTTCAGGACTCCCCAGTGCAGGTTGTCAGGCCTGGCAGACTTGAAAAAATACAAGCATAGTAGGGGACCTCTCACCTGTTCAGGACTGATTTCGTGTAGTCTGTCTTCCCCATGTTCTTTTGGCCTGTGGTCAAGTAAACAGCCCCAGTTTGTTTGTTTTCAGGAAAGGATGTTTAATCCTTAAAATCCTGAGTACAACTTTTCTTCTTATTTCTTTGCTTCTGATACTAATTTCTAGCCTTCTCTTTTTTTTCGCTTTTCCTTAATAAGAGATGCATTGTCTTTGGAAATATGAGAGAGAGTTTAAGAGAATTTTGGATGTGTTGCTGGTAAATAACAGGCAGCCTCCAATAAATGTGGTATTTCCATGTTTTAGCTAGACTTTGTTTTTCTCTTGGGTGCTAGATTTGGAAGAGTTTATCTTAAAGAGATAAAAAAGAATCTGCTCTGAAGATGATCTATGCTTCTTTCTGATGTAAAGATAACACTTCATCTTCTACAGATAAAAGCCTGCTGTTGGGTAAAAAACTCTCTTGGGAACCATGACTGTTATTTTTCGTTTTTGAGAATTTTTTTAGTGAACTTTGATTCGCAGCTAGAAAGAAATGAATGTGGAGCTCCCTGTCTACTTTTAACAAAAGTAGCTTCTCTGATTGATTTAACATTGTCCAGTGCGAGTATTTCTTCATAACTTATCAATAGGGATGAATGTTCTCAGTTCTTTTCAGTTGCTATGTACAGGTGTTCAAAAACACTATGAGAATTATCATGTTTTGTTGTTTTCTCCTAGTAGAAATACGGACCAGGAGAAGGGTGTAAAGGTGGTCCAGGGACCCTGTGGGTACTGCACAGATAGCATGCACTGCTGATGGCATGCAACCATTAGGCTCCCTGTGCATCCCAGCATGGTTTTCAGGCTTCCCTGGCTGCCGAAGAGTGCTGAAAGCTGCTGAGCATTGTTTTTGACTGGCTGCCCCAGGGGACCATGCTTTTGCCCCTCAGTAGCAAGCATATCAGTTCCTACTCCTGTAGCCCACAATAGATCCATAACCCCCTTGTACATAAACCAATGGACCCCATTCCTGCACCAGCAGCTCCATTTCCCAGTGTGCTCCTCTCACCAGAGAATTGGGTCACTTGGTGCATGCTTTTTGATCTCATGTGCCAGAAGCTTGCACTGGTATGCAGGCTCTTGCAAGTGACTGCACTCCCACCCAAGACTGTTAACTGGCACTTCTGCCCACTTAACCTCATGGATCTGGCCGGCTACTTCCATGTAGCCAAGAAGGAGGAGACCCTACAGGTCACCACATAGTTAGTGGTGTCCTACTCTACTCAGTGACTGAGGGTCACGTTGAATTTCATATTGCAGCAGTTTCTGTACTGTATAGCCTCAATCCCATCTGGAGCCAGTATCACTTGCAAGTAGAAGGAGCAAAGAACTTAAATTCTTTAAAATAGAGCTTGACAAGTTTCTGGAAGGGATGGCATGTTAGGAAAGGCAGTTCTTGGACCAGTAATCAGCACATGTGGTATGCTGATTTATATATTTGTAGTTCCCATGTTAGAATTGAGAGGTAACTTTTCTGTGCAGGAAGTCAACAGGAAATTGCATCACTTCTGTTCTAGGGGGTCCTCAGTATTGGTTCCATGTCAGATGCATTTCAATAGTCTTTTGGTTAAGAGTTCTGTATGTTTTCCTACTCACACTTCTGATCCCTCAAGTAATCTTCCAGGTCTGGCAGAACACAGCTCAGCTGATGGTCCTCTTGTGAAGGCCCTAAAGCAGATGCTGAATTTGGCAGGGTTATCCCTCATTCACTGTTTGCCTAGGGCAGTGATGCTTAGCCTTTTGGCCCTGCGGGCCAGATGAGTAGCACAGAGCTGATGTGTGGGCCAGATTGGGCCCTGGGAACCACCACTGCTCTTACCCATTCCTGTGTGCCAGGATTGGGCCTGCCTCTAAGTCTTTCCTGCTCAGACTTAACAAACCCGGTTCCCAGAGTCTCTCCTCATAGGGCCTATCCTCCAGGACCTTAATCATAAGGGTGGCCCTTCTCTGTACCCTTTCGAGCTTATCCACATCTTTCCTGAAGTGTGGTGCCTAGAACTGGATGCAGTACTCCAGCTATGGCCTCACCAATGCCGAGTAGAGGGGGAAGAGCACCTCTGGATCTGTTTGCAACACATCGGCTGATACGTGCCGGAGTTCTGTTTGCCTTGCTGACAGCTTCATCGCACTGTAGGCTCATATTCATCTTCTGGTCAATTGTCACCCCCAGGTCCCTTTCAGATGCAGTACCAGCCAGTGGACCACCACCCATCATATAGTTATGGTGAAGGTTCTTCCTACCTAGATGGAGGACCCAGCACTTGTCCCCATTGAACCTCCATCTGATTGTGTTCAGCCCATAGATCCAGTCTGTCAAGGTCATCCTGGATCCTTACCCTAGCATCAGATGTGCCTGCATTTCCCCACAGTGTGGTGTCATCCACAAGCTTAATCATTGTGCTTTCCACCCCCTCATCCAAATCTTTGATAAAGATGTTAAAGAGCACAGGCCCAAGCACTGATCCCTGGGGGACACCACTGCAGATGGCTTTCCAGGAGGAGGCCATCCCATCGATTACAACTTTCTTGGATCAGCCTCTGAGCCAGTTGCCAACCCACTGCACTGTAGACTGGTCTAGGGCAGGACCCTCTAGTTTAATTGAAAGAATCTCATGGGATACTATATCAAAGGCCTTGCTGAAGTCTAGGTAGATAATGTCAACTTCATGTCTCTTGTCCAGCTGGTTAGTTACCCGGTCATAAAAGGACACCAGGTTTGTTAGGCATGACCTGCAGTTGCAAGCTTGTGGTTAGTGGCCTCTTTGACAATTTTTTCAAAGATTTTTCCCAAGACTGCAGTCAGATTGACCGGTCTGTAGTTTGCAGGGTCATCCCTCTTCCCTTTCTTAATGATGGGTACTGCATTAGCCCTCTTCCACTCGTTCGGGACCACTCCCAAGTTCCATGACTCTTCCAACAGCTTCATCAGGGGCCCTACTATGAGCTTAGCCAGTTCTTTTAAGACTCAGATGCAGGTCATCTGGCTCAGCAGACTTGAACATGTCCTAATGTTCTAAGAGTACCCTTACCTGTTTGGGACTGATTTAATGTGGAGTGTTGTCTTCCCCATATTTCCTGGGTCTCTGGACAGGTGAACAGCTCCCATCTGATTTTAGGAATACCAGCATGAAGTAAATAGGAGTGCTGCTTTTTTGTAGGAATCATGTGTGGGCTCCCCCGCCTTATTCAGTAGGGGTCCAACAGTGGAGCTTGATTTGGTTTTTTTTTTTTTTTTTTTGTGTTTTTTTTTTTTCTTGCTCCCGATGTACTTATAGAAGGACTTTTTGTTGTTTTTTATTTTGGTTGCCAGCTTGATCTCCATGCCTGCCTAGGCTTTCCATGTCTCATACCTTCAGCTCCTAGCCATCTGATTGTACTCCTCTCTGGAAAAATGGTTCAGCATCCATCACTTTACATGCTTCTGTTTTCTTTTTCAGAAGTTCTCTAATATCCCTGTTGAGCCAAGTGGGTCTCTTGGCTCCTTTCCTGCTTTTTGACCGCACGGGGATGGCCTATTTTTGAGCAGTGAGAATTGCCCCCTTAAGGAAGCACCACCGATCCTGAACTCCCAAATCTTCCAGTTGCTGGCCTTTCTAACTAGTCTCCTGATTTTACCAGGCTGCCCTTCTGAAGTCTAGGACTTCTGTTCTACTGACTGAATTCCCAGCCTTTTGGTGGATGGTGAACCTAATTAGGTTGTGATCACTATAGGCTAGAGTACCTCCAATCTTCAGGTCACCTACTATGTCAGCAGTAAGTCCAGAGTGGTTTTATTCCTAGTTTGTCCTTCCACAGCCTGTGACAAGAACAGGTTGGCAGTAGCTGCCAGGAAGTTGGTTGACCTGCTGGAGCTGGATGAATGGTCTTCCCAACAGATGTCAGGGGTGGAAAGACCATTCAAGTTATGTTGGTGTTGGTTATAATGATACTGTATGTAAAATCAGTTTAGAAAGTAAATGCATAGCAAGCTTCTTGATTATCAGCTACAACAAGGCACCTTGCTTCAATAAAATATCTCATTTGAAATTTTGGTGCTGAATAGGAAGTTTCTTTGAACACTGACTTGCAGTTGAGGGACCAATTTACCTAACTGGCCAACTACATGGAGAATTCACTTTTTTTTCTTGCAGAGGTCTACAGACCATCAAGAAAGCCAGTTGCAAATCTCCTTGACACTAGAATTAATCTTTTTTTAAACTTAAAGCACAGAAGTGAACCACATAATTCTGTTGGAGAATTCTTGTCTGGTGTTTGTCAGAAATAAAATGCATGTTAATAGTTTGTAGATTGAGGGTTAATTTAGAAATGAGACATCCACACTTGTAATCGGTATTAACTAAATTTAATTTTCCATGGTTTTATCTTTAGTTTGTAAACTAGAAAGATGATACATTTCAAACAATTACTACATGAGCAAGATGAGTGAAACTTATCCACAGATTTTTTAAGTTAGCTTTCTTGGTTGCTGTTTTCTATTGCTATTAAAGTGTGACAGACAAGCCAGCAACTTAAGATCATGACATGAATAAATACTTGTAGTGGGACTGTATCTGAAAATTAGAAAACTACATTATACTTAAGTGATTTGTAACATGGAAACACTCTTTTCAGAGTCTGCTATATCTGCTTTGAAGTACAGAGATTTTTTTTTTGATCAAAAATAGCCTGAAGCAAACATTAGAATGTTATTGAACCTGTAGACAAAATAACATTAATAATCTTTGCCATTGCAACTACAGTAAATTCTCCCTTTCGGTTTATATCTAACAATACAAGCATATACCTTTTTCTGGGTTTTTTTGTGGCAAATGGAACAGGGGGAAGTTTTATTTGTTTTTGGTTGGTTTGTTTTGGTTGTTTTGTTAAGTTTGTACCTCATTATTTAAGAACCTATGACAGATAGTAAGCTGTTTAGAAATATTTTATGTTTGGTGATAGACTTTAATGTAGTAAATTCTTTTCTTTAGGAACAGTGGAAAGTGAACAATGCCCTCCTACTTCATCGTCGTCTTCCTCCTTATCAGCCACTTCTGGTAGACAGAAGCCTGAAATTAGAGCTTTTTTTAGAAAGAAGAAAACCAGTGATATCTATTTTGTTACTCTGGTATGGGCCATCATCATAGTCCAGATCTGGTTGAATCTCTGGATTGTGCAGTTACTGCCAGTGCCTATTGCAGGTAATTGGTTATTATTAATTCATGGTTAAATAGGACTTCAGAAAATCCTAGCCTTTTCATATCTGTGTAACAACATACCCTTTTCCAAATAGAAGATGTGGAATCTTCTTTCACCTTCCACTTGTGGGTCTCAAAATGTCTTTTCTTAAAACCTAATCTTGTATTGATGTATTTTGAATTCAATTAACTTGTAGTTTCTGGTTTGAAGTCTCTTTTCACAATCTCAGTCAGTTCCTGGTTGTAAATAAGTTATTTCAGATGGCATGCCTGCTTAGTGTCCTCCTGTATCATACAGTTACCTTCCATGAAATGTAGGCGTTGCTTTGCTTGTATTTATTATTGTACAGTGGCCTAAATGTTTAATGCCATTCAGGAGTACCGTATTTGTACATCATAAAAATACATGACTAATTGTTACTGCTTGTTTGTGTTTCCTAGCAGCCTGTAGCATATGGCCAGGATTGTTTTTCCTTTTTGCTTTTTGTTCCTTTTGTCCTTGTTTGGGGTGGGGGAAAATTCTATGCAATTTTAATGAAAGATACTCTGGATTACTTAGTATATTAATTGCTATTATAAGGAGCACAAGATTTTTTTTTTTCTAATTTTAAGAATACTCTAAGGCTATCTAAAGTTTTTCTTTACTATCTTAAGACTTCAGTTATCCCACCTGTAAAATAGAAATCACATTTGTTGTAGGGGAAGGAATAACATTTTTTGGGGGGTGGGGCTGAGCGTGCACGCTCTGGGCAGGTGGCAGTGGTGCTGGGAGGGGGGTTGGGTGTGCTACAGTGAATGTTGGGGTTGCTGCATCCCCCCTCCCAGTGATGCTGTTGCCTGCCCCGAGCATGCTGGCGCCCTACTACTGCCCCGTATTTGAGGGGGCTAAGCCCCGTTAGGCCCCCCTTTCCACTACCTAAGCTTGCTGTGCATCTCAGCAGCTGTTTTAAAACTATATGCATCTTGCTTTTAGATCTTCATTGACTGATGGCGTAGGAGAGTTAAGGTAGTTAATTCTTGTTTCCAGTGCTCCTTGTGTCCATGTTTCCTCAGTCAAAATCATATTTCATTGTCTTAAGTGCTTTCTTCAATTTAATTTATTTTGCAGTTTAATGTGGCTGCTTCATTTGGTTAGCAAACCAAATAATATACTTCTTGATAGAAGTAGTGTGAGCTCACTTGTGACTATAATCATGAGCACTTCAGGATGTCCATTTTTTGCTTATTTGAATGCCTGAGAGAGAATATGCTCTTAACATGACCATCAACTGAAAGTAGCATTTATATCTTTTTTTTCCTTTTTTAAAAAAAAAAACAACAAACCATGTAAGGCCCATCCAAAGTAACTGTAGATGTTCTTGGCTTATGCCATGTAACAATTAATTGTATCAGTGATCTGAAAGAACATGGAACATTGTTAGCAGGTGACTCAGGCAGACATTGTTAAACAGAGCAGAGAACAGGTCCTTGATGCAGTGTGACCTGGATTCCTTGGGCTCAGACAGTGTAGCCAAATGTCAAATTATACATCTAGAAACAGGAAAACAGACCATGCAGGATGGTCTCCGTCATGAGTAACAGCGACTATAAAAGACTTCGGTCAGGCTTTGTAAAGAGTGGTTCAATCTTGTGGTCAGAAAAGCTAATGTAAAGAGGCTCTTCCTTGGATGTATGAGAAGAGAGGCTGTTTTTATTCATGTTTGACACTGCTTCTGCAGTGTCGTATTCTCTTACAGCTGCTACTGCAGTGTAAGATGTTGAAAAATTTGGGAGTCTTCAGAGAAAAACCATGAGAATGACTGAAGGTTTGGAAAAAGGTTTCAGTTTATGAAAAAGGAGCTTTGGGTGCAGTTTGATCAGAGTCTAGAAATATCAGTGTGAAAAGCAATGTGATAAGAGGGCTTTATAGTTTAGTGAACAAAGATATAAACCAATGGCTGTGAGTTGAAGCTAAATAAATTCAGACTTGAACTGACGTACAAATTTAATGGTGTGGGTCAGTCCAATAGAACATCTTACCAAGGGTCGTGATGGACTTATTTTCCATCCCTGTACACTTTTTATCTAAAAAGATGCTTCAGTACAAATAGGAATCAATTTAGGAAAATCTTATGGTTTGTTTTATATAAAAAGTTAGCATACATTATCACAGTGGTTCATTTACTAGTATAATCTATTAATTTAATGTTATTAATCTCAGTAATTACATTGGGCAGAAAGCAGGGTAGGGTGGTCTCTCTGAATCCATTTCTAAGGTGCCGCCTTGCCTTGCCTTTTCCCTGACTTCAGACTAACAGTGCAGCTGTATCTTAGGAAGGGGTGGTTCGGTCATGAATTGAACCACATTTAGAACACTGGATCACAGTAAATATTGTAGGGTAAAAGAATAAATTGGGTTGTCAAAGGAGAGGAAGTACACAAAGCAAACGTATAATAACAGAGTGACTGGAAATGATTTTTTTATATTAACAATAGGTCCCTTAGTTAAGCCACGTTCACTTAAGTTGATATTTTAGAGTCAAGGGCATGATGATCCTAAGAGAAAACGCTTCTTGCATTAGAGCAACAGATATTTATGTAAAGAAAGGCTGATTTACCCAAAGGTTCGTAAACTGGCCTTTGACTCTAATTGCCATTTCATGCATCAGAAACATCTTCTCACTACTAGAATTTTTGCTTAAACCATTTTTGCTTCAACAGAATGATGTATTCTCTTAATGGTATATTATTTGGGGAGAGGGATATATACATAAATTGTTATAAAATGTAGAACAGAGAGAGCAATATCAGTGTAAAATTTTAATGAAAGCCAATCATTAAAACCCGCAAGGAACAAGCAGCCAACCTACAAGGAAGATCTGAAACATTCATTCAATGTGTTGAGTGCATATAACTAGGAGCACATTTATTGTCAAGTACCTGTTGCTTCTACTTTGTTTTCGCTTGCCCCTCAGTTTTCTCTCCTTCCCTGTCTCTCTCCTTGTCTCTCTCCCTCTCTCTGTTTAAACAGCAAGCACACTTTTAGAAAAAAATGATGTGTATTCTGTAAAAGAACAGCTGTACCTGTGTTGCAGAGCAGTAGTTTAATTGGTTTATGCATTTAGTATCAATTGAATTAGGTTAAAAAAGCTACAATGTAAGACTTCATTTTCCCTCTGGAACCAAGATGTAAACCTCGCACAATATTTTCAACTCTTTTGGACATTTAACTGTGCTAAGTGTAGCAAGATGATTACTTGGTAAGAAGGTGGTACTCAAGATTGCCACATGGTGGTGCCACGAGTAAACAAGTAAAGCAGAGCTTGGAAAAATTGTAAAATAAGCAATGCTGTGGGAAAGAACAGAAACTGTTACAGAAAGAGCTTACAGATAATAGGTTTTTGTTAAACTTGATAAACTCCCTGTAGACATTAAAATTTGACCTTTTGGGCATGACATTTTTCATATCTAGATATTTCCAAGGGATGCATGCTATGAATGTTGAGTGGTATAGTTTTGTAGCGTTTGCCAGCAGGTTTTACATTCAGTTTGGAGGAGTTTTGAATCAACAGAAAAAAATAATTATTAAAATACGTTTTAATATATTACCTATTTACCATGTAGTGCAAAAGCACAGAATTCTATAATAGTTTAAAGTTTTCTCATTTGACTATATTGCTAATAATTTTCTTTAAACTACTGGTTCCATGTACATCATACATTTCTCAAGTAGTTACCTGTTTGGTAAGTTAAGTACACAAATTTTAAGCAAAAGTCTCAGTACCTACTTTTTAATTAGAAGCATGACATTCAGCATCTTGAGTTGTGACAAAAGAAATAATCTCAATGCAATAATTGTGTTCACAATATGAAACTTCTTAAAATTGCATTTCAGTAATTTGCGGGGGAGGGGACGAGGAGAGGGCTTAATTTCAGGTCTGGGCATATCAGTCAAAGTAATTAATTGAGTTTCCTAACCAGCATATTTTAAAGGCAAAAATCTGTTAATGCAGTTTTAAGGCTGCAAATATAAAATAATTAAGAAATGCAGAAGTACAGGTTTACATAGAAATTGTAACTTAATTAACAGGGATGTAGGTTGTAGCCGTGTTGGTCTAAGGACATAAGCAGACAAGGTTCCTTGGGTGAATCCAACTATTTGGGTTGGTCTAATAAAAGATATCAGATTCGCCCAAGGAACCTTGTCTAACTTAATTAACACATTTTAAAATGTATTTGTAATTAATACAAGCTGAATCTAAATACAAATCTAGAGAATTTTTACTCATCAAAAAAGAAATGTAGATGTCCATAAAATAGTTTAGTTGCAAACTTAACTGTAGCTCCTGCTGTCCTGAGCATATGTATAAATGAAAGTATATGGCTCTCTCTTTGACATGAAAGGTACTGAATTAAAGATATGGAAAGCCAAAAATGGTAAAAATTTTGAGGGAGAGAAAGTTGCCTCATGTCCAAGATATTATACATTGAATATGCTATCCATGTTCATTCTGTAAAGTACAGATGTTGTTTGTGTTTAACAAAACTATCAGTTCACTGCCTGTAATCAGTAGAATTGTTCAGTAGGTCATTGTATATGCAATAAGATGATATGGAGCTGTCTTTTATATGACAGTATTTAAGTTTCAGGTGGATGAATAGTTTTTAGAAAGTGCATAATCTTTGTTTTGAAAATGTTGAAGTGATTTTAGTACTTCTGGTAAGAGGGAAAAAAAAAGAAATGTATATACTGTTTTTTTTCCTAAATGTCCCAGTGGAAGGAAGAGTTAGGAGGGAAGGAATAAGACATGGTACAGTTGTCAAATTCCTAATCTTAAATTCCCTTTTTCTTTATTATTACAGTTTGGGTTCTTAAAAAGCTTGTGGTCCACTTTGGAGTTGTGAACTTCATGGCAAAACGTTGTAGCATGTGGTGGCACGTTCTGGAAAACTTTGTGAAGGAGCGGCAAGAAGCCCTCGCTCCATGGCCAATCAGAGGACTTGGAAGGGTCATGCTAAAACTTGACAGCAAGGTATTTCAGTTAATTTTCTCAAACAAGCTAAAAATTTTACTTGTGTGACTGGGTCCTGGGGAACTGTTGGTCTAAAATAAAGCGAGCCTGTCACTAGTTCACCTTTCTCTTCATGAAAAAGTGTGTGCGTGTGCATGTGTGCACATATGTACCGCCGCATATCTTTAGGCCCTATCTCTACTCTCTTTATTCAAACTGAAGCACATATTTAAACTTTGAAAAATAGGTTAGGTTCCTCAACATTAACCTGATATCTAGCTTACCAGGCAGTGCTGTGGAGAAAAATTGGCTACTTTACTCCATTCACACTGCCTCCCAAACTGGAATCTGTATAGCCATATTATTATGGTACTGTACGTGGGTACTGTTAGAGACGGAACCATTTATCTTGCCCATAACCCTTCACTGTTCAAAAGATTGTTACACTGTTCTGCACTCACTGTTATGGCATGTCACTGCTTGGCGCACAGTAAATGCAAAATATAGACGTGCCCAAGTGATTGATAAAAGTAGCCTTTAAAGTTAAACTAGCTTAATAATATGGCCCAATTACATGTTAAGGGGGACTTCTCATGTGTCAGTCATGATATCTGATAAAGACATTAATCTCAGTCTGAGTGTAAAGGATTGAATATTCTTAGTTGCATTAAGCTAATTTAATGTTACAAAATGGCTTCTTTTTTTAGTTTATAGATTGAGTCTAAGCTACTTCACCCACATGCTACACTACATAGCTACTAAATGTAGCTGTCCTAGTGCAGTGCCTCAGGGGGCTTGTATGGAAAAAGTTAGGAGTTGTGATCTCCAGGAAGTGACAGAATAAAGCTTTCATATGGTTTTCTCTGTTAACGACATCAATGTGGAAGATGCTCTTGATTTCTTCTTTATAACGGAACACTTAAATCACAAGAAGATTTGAAACTGGCTGAGTGAATCTTCATAAGGGATTTTTGCTTTTAAATTATGCTAAGGGATATTGAAAATGTGTGAACGTTTTCAAAACTATTCTAAATAAATATGTATTAAGCTATTATCTACTGAAATTGTACCACAGAAATGTAAAATACAAAAATGTCCTTGTCCTGCACAGCTTAAAACTGAAGGGCTATGCTATGCCAACTGTTTTAACATCATGTCTGTGCCCATCCAAATTCATTTGCCGGATGCAGGCCTAAACATTAACAAGAACAGGAGGAAATGAAGCAAAGTGGTTTTGCTGGGCAAAAGGATGAAAAGATTTTATTGGAGTAGGGGGTAGGAGGAATTATAAGCTTTCTTTAAGTGGGCATTGATTTAGCTCTTGAGGTCTGGTTGAATGGATAGAGAAGAATTTGAAAGAGAATGAGGAAATTGAATTCGCAGGGAGGCAAGAGGGAGCAAGTAAAGAAATTTGAACAGGGATTAAATAAAGCAATGGGTAAGGTAGGTAACTTAAACTGAGTTGAATAGAGATAAGAAAGATCAGTATATCAGAGGGTGGAGAAAGGGAGGCTTTAGTAGATTTTTTTTTTTAATAGGATTGATGAATCTTTGAGCAGCTGTGAAAATAAAACCAGCTGTATTTTGGGCGTGGCACTTATCTGGTGTAATAAACAAAAAAAATAAAAATAAAAAATAACTTGCAAGCTTGTAGGCTAGGGTAAGTGATGGAATTACTAATAATGATGGAGAAAGGAGAGATGAATCTAGTATCTGATGCATTGTATTTCAGTTGAAATTCATAATTATAAGTTTTTGTTTGGTAGGAACCATTAAAACGCAATGAATTTCTTGGGGGTATATATTAAGATAATTTAAGTTATGAAACTTTTAAGATGGGTATAATAAGAATAAAGGAAAAGGAAGAATTGGTCTTGCACCCTGGCTTGATATGTTTTGCTCCTGTTTTCTTTGACAGTGAGAGAGACTATATAATCACTTCCAATTTAATGGTGTCTTTTACAATTTAGAGATTTTTAGTGATCATCTGTACTTCCTTTCCCCTGAAAATCCCACCTATGACAGTGGTGTTTCTCTGTTAGCAGAAGCAGGGTGCTAAGCCTCGGCCTTATGTAAATAAACTGTTGCTGATGTTTGTTTCTAACACATGTCTAAATTATACAATAGTGATGCGTGTTTCTAACATTCTGGCACGTTATACAGACAAGCAAGAAGTCCTGCCACCAAGAGAAAGGGATGGATGGAGAGTGAAGATGCATCTGGAGGAGCATGTGTCCTCTTCAGCCAGAGAAAATCTCCTAGTTTTGGATATGGTGGGCCAGGAAGAGAGATTCTTTTCCCTCCTTAAGTTGAAAAAAAATTAGAAGAAGCATGTGGGAGAGGGCTCCAAGTGAGCTCAGCAGATTCTCAGCACTGATTCCTTCTGAAGCATTTATTTAATCTGTTGAGGAAAAGAAATAAGAAAGTAGTGCCAGTTCAACTTCCTTCTTTCTCTGCTGATAAATGGGGTGTGCCCATTTGAGAAAAGTTCTGGTTGTGAAAAGTAGACAGGTGTTGCTTTTTATTTTTTCTTCCAGCAGCTGAACAAAAGGAAGTACTAGAAAGCTCAGCAGATGCTGATGAAACTAATTGTCCATTTTGTTACTGTTCTGTTTTAGACTAGGCAAATTAAGAGTGTTTATAAATATATTTGGTGTCGCTCACTGATCTTCCTCCTTGTACTACCCTTCTGCTAATAGCATACATACATAAGAACTCAGAGGCTGGAAGTTTTCTGAGGGGTGAAGAGAGTGTGGGAGCAGGGGGCAGAAATTGGTTGCCGCCATTTTTCCACCCCTGAAGAAATGTAAAATATATGGGTATTATTCACATATTTTATGAATAGTCTAAATTACATCTTTGCTTCAACCTGCTGTACTCTTTACACAGTGAGTGCCCACTTGCATTTTTATTTGTACTTGGACAGCTATCCTGGTCAACCCCGTGCAGTCATGGGACTTTTCTTGTCCACTGAATAATTCCATGCATCTTTCCAGGCTTTCATAAAAGACGATTGTGTTGATGTTAGTCAGTGACTATATATTTTATTAATGCAAGGAAATCTACTTTTTGGTATATTTTGAATTCATTGTATACTTACCAAAAGATCTTTCCTAGATGTAGTAGACCATGGTCTGACACTTGGTGATTATAGGTAGGTGGTTCAGTCTTTTTACCAGAGTCAAGTATGGGTACTTTAAGCTCTAAATTAAGCACACAGTTAAAAACACCTGAGAAACATAGGAACACACGTTTCTGCACTTTCACTAGTGTGTAGAAATGTATCTTCTTCAGAAAATCTTTCAGGAGTTGGTAGCATAATGTAAATAGCTTTCAAATGGAGTAGTGAAAAAAGTACTGCATTAAACATACATTCATTGTTAAATTCTACTTTTGTAAATAGTTGGTTTAACCAAACTTTAAAAAAATAACTTGTGGCTTGGGTAAAAGCACCCAAGATTCTGCCTGTCAATATACAATGGGAAGTAAGTTGCTAAAATTTAAACTGGTTGGAGGTCAGTATATTGCATGTATTTTTGGGTATCGATGTTTTCCTGCATATCATGTTGTTTCCTGGCTATTGTACCTACTGTTATGTCTTAGGAGAGTAAAGATTGAAAAAAATGATTCTGATGGATGGAAGTTAGGTTGCTTTTATTAATTGCCATTAATGCTAATGGAGTAGCATTAATTTTCCCTATAAGATCATTATAACCATTATGGGGGGCAGAGCAGGATACATTAGACTACCCTATAGAAATCTATTTAAAAAAAGAGAGGCTTACCGTGAAATGGGTTATCTTGTCATGTTAGATTATTTTTTCTACTTTGGTTCCATGAAAGCAAGATAAAGGTACATGCCAGGGAGGTGGGAGTATTAAATATCAGCCCTATTACATCATTTTACTGATAAAACATTTCTTTCCTGGGAAGATGGGAAAAAGATTAGAATCTTGCAGCTGAGGTTTTTCAAGCTCTTGTAGCTTCCCATTTCTGTTCTTGTTTCCATAGGAACAGATGCACTTAAGCTATATAGTATGTGGCATAACTGGATACCTTTGTGCTTTGCATTGTTACTGAATCTGTGTATGTTTGTCTCTCAGTATAAGCTGCACTTTGATCTGCATTCTGGGATTTTGGCTTAATTCAAAACACTTCTTTAGGTTTTGTTTATATTGGGAATGTGTCCCAATTTCAGTCGCTGGTGGCCAGTTAATGGTACAGGCCCCAAATATAGACAAGAAAAAGGCACAACTTGTATCGGTGGAGTTATATTATTTTTAAGGAAGAACGAGCAGATGGATAGAAACTTTAGTTTTTTGTCTACAGTTGAGGTTTGCATAGATAGTAGTTACATTGGTAACCATTCCATTCCCCGCCATTAGTGACTGAAGTTGCACTACAGACAAGGTCATAAAATGGGTGTATGATTACTTTGGGTGAGAGCTATTAGAATTAAATTTCTATTCCAGAAGGAAACAATGATTTTTTAGGAAGAAGGTGTTCTACACCACCCAGGGTTACTAGGAATAATGGCCACAAGTTGTTAGAGATAAGGTTCAGGCTGGACATCAGGAGACATTACTTTACAGTTAGGGCTGCCAGGCTCTGGAATGGACTCCCAAGTGAGGTAGTACTCTCTCCTACCTTGGGGTGATATGAACCCGGCACCCATTCCTGCCCCGGGCACAGGGTCAGACCTGATGATCTGTTTAGGTCCCTTCTGATCCTAAGCACTATGATACTATGATACACCTGTCCTCTATTGTTTGCACAACCTGCCTGATTATGGACAGCCTATATGAATAAGTGATTGGATCTGTGATCTTTTGCTGTGTATATCAGGTGAATTTAATATTTTTTCCTACTCCTTTTCATATGATTTGACTTGGGTCTGAATGCAGGAATACTACTAAAACATAAAAATGTTTAATGTTTTTAACAACAGTTGACAAATGACATTTTGAGTGGGTTTGAAATTAGACCATTAATTGTTTCAGATTGGGAACTTGATTCTCAAAAACAAGCGTCTGATGCGTTGTTTTTGGTATTTAGTAATGCTCCTGTTTTCCAAAGAATGTTTTCACCTATACTGTATTGATCTTTGAAGTTATGGATCTTAATCTATAACTATTCAAGACATACTGGTGCAGACTGAGAGTTGTTTTAAAATTGTTCAACTATGGTTGCCAAGCATTTTGGTAAAGTTGGGGTTTTTTTGGGTTTCTTTTCCTTTCTAAATAACATGCATGTTGGTAAAACCTGGATTATTGCATTGCAGGTTTTTACAAAGCTTTCTTTCCTGTTGTAATTTATTGTTGGGTCTAGAATGATTTCACGTTTCATTCTGTGGATTACTGTCTGTCTGTTTGTTTTTCATACTATTACTGCATTCTTCAATAATCCTTTGCTGTCTTCTTGTCTTTTTCCCGCCCACTCTTCATCTACCCCTGCCACCAACAAGCTGTGGCATTGGCTTAATAAGAAGGTAAATAAAGAGATGGATTGTGATTCCAGCTAATGCACTCTGTGTCTTTTTGCTGCATGAACACTTTTTAACGCGTCTTACTGCTTATTTTTTCCTTGAATCTTTTCTTTTTCCCTTTGCTCTTGGTATAAGCTACTAAAGGTCATGCAATACCACCTGATCTACCTTGTTTTAATACAATGAACTCATGAAGTTAATTGTTTGATGCAGCAGGGTACTCTGGAGTTCAAATCATTTTACTATTTCAGAACAGTTTTGACTTTTACTATTTATACACTTCACAAAACCAACATGTAACTTGATTCAGTTGGCATTCTCTGCTCAGGAGAAACTTGGCAGCAGTGCCAGTAATAACTGGGGAGTGTTTTCAAAGATAGTCATGGAAACCATGCAGAGCTCTTACATTATTCCCCTGTAGTCAATGCTAGAAGTGTGTTCAAAATCACCAAATTAATCTACTTTTTCAAAAGGGAAAAATAAAACGGCCTCAAAGATACCAGTTATTGAGACAACACTAAGGCAAGAGTGGCTAGTGGAAGGAAGAATATTCAATGCATAGGCTCAAACAATAATTTTCCTTCCCTGTAATTTGTAGAAAAAGCAATGTAATTGAGATGGCGTAGACCGTCTTTTTTACACCATTTTTGCTTACTTATGTTTCCAGGCAGGATGAAGTTATTACACCCATCAGTAGGAGCTTTACACCAGTCTAGTTATAGTGACTGGCCAGTGGCATCTGGAATCATGGCAAATCCACACTGTAGATGAAGTGTTAACTATTGGAAGAGCTTAGCAGATTCACAGGAACATTGGGCATTGGGGAAAGATAACTCTGTAACGCGTCAAATCTGTAGGATTCCCTACTGCTCTGTCTTCATTATCTTCTAATAATGTAGTCTTCATAGTTTTTGTATTTCAAAGTTATTAAAATATATCTTAGACAAAGCAAATTTCCCAAACAAAAATATTGAGGGACTCATAGTTGTAGATACATATCTAAACTAATTAAGTTAAAATGTTCAAATGGGATATATGAAAGATGTGTTAAACCATGCATCTGGAAAGGGCAGAATTTTCAGGGACAGCCTTTTACTGTCATTTATCATCTCTGTACACTTGGGAGAATCCAGGTAGCTGACACTGAATAGAAAAGGCCACCCCAAAATGACTGCAGAATTAGAGCTTTAGGCTGCAGTCAACCCATGAAAATTGGTAAGTCCCTTCATGATTTAGGTAGACCCCTGTTATACCCTGTGGTCTGTAATCCAGCATCCTGCTAGTGGGCAAGGTCTCAGTATACAGTTTTCTTTAAGTGTACATGTGAAAGGCAGGAAGCCTGCCAGGTTTATAAATGGGAACAGTTAAGGTTAGGGAGTAGAGTTGGACCATCTCTTGGCTTTTTGATGTTACGTTGTTTTAATTTCATCCTAGATTCTTGATTTTTGTCATGGTTATTTTTGCACTACAACATGTTTTAATTTCATAAGTATTAGAGGTGGACTGATACATCAGTCCGATATCAGATCAGCACCGGTATAAAGAAAACTCGCTGTATTGAATATCAGCCTGATGGGGCCAATAATTTGGCTGATAAATGCCTGTGCTGTGCACAGCCGTAGCTGCGGTGCAGCATTGGGGCAGCAAGGAGCACAGCCGATAGCGTGGAGAGCTGTGTCCAGCTGGTAAATCCGGTGTGGTGGAACAGCAGGTGGGAGGGAAGGACAATGAGGGGGGTGCAGATCATCGTCTCCTGCGGTGAGGGAGGGGGCAGGGGCAAGCGTTGCGACAGCAACGTGGGAGGCAGTTCTTGCTGCTGCTTGTACCCCAGGAGGACATAGGGGTGGGGGTGTGCCCCCTGGATCTGTGTGGGGTGGGGCGGGGTGGGCTGTAGTCAGGACTGTGTGGGGCTTTTCTCAGTGGGGGCTGGGCTTGGAGCGCGTGCTGGGAGGATGCTGCATTCACCCCAAATTTTGCCGCCACTCTGCTCCCCACACTACTGCTGCCTGGCGCAGCCCCAGCTCTTCCTTCCCTCCTCCCCTTCCACCACAACAGACTTACCAGCTGGAGTCAGCTGTATCAGAAATCGGATTAGTATCAGCCGATATGCCTCCTTAAATATCGGCTATCGGTATTGGCTCCAAAAATGTGTATCGGTGCACCTTTTATAAGTATGCACAACCAAAATGTATAATAAAGAATTATTGTTTGCAAATGGCATGTTTAGACCCCTACAATACATCTGCATGGTGCCCTGATCTATGGATAGAAGTTTGTGTATAACTGCATGTTTTTTCTTATCTAGTTTTAGACTTTGTGGTTAAGAACAGATTTGTGGATTAGGTTTCCTGAACTTTACTAGAATTTAAAAGTTGTTAGTTGCAGTCATTGTTAGCTGAACATTAATGTGGCTTTTAATAGGCTAGCCTATAAAAAAACAACCCCCCCCCCCAAAAAACAAAAAAACAAACAAAAAAACCCAAACAAACAAACACGAAACAGTTTTGGACTAACTTCCTGTAAAATGTTGGTGTGTTAGTCACTAGCTGGAAAGGTACTTCAAACTAATAATTTTTCACTTTTTACACTTGCTTTAGGGAGAGTTTTTGGAAATGTGTATGCATTTAAAACTCCATGCTACATTAAACTATCTAGTGTATGCTATGCTGGTCATGATACTGTACGAATAAAAATGGCAGGTAAATTCTTAATGCCTCTTAATTTTATAAAATCCATACACTGGGATGCTAAGAGAGGAGTTGATTGAAGCACAGAAAATTGGGACTACCTACTTTTACAGCTATTCCCATTTTATCTTCTTTTGAGGAAAACGCTTATAAGAGCACTAAACCAAACTTCTAATGATACACTAGGAGCTATGTGTTTAAGTTATGCAAAGGCAGGTGAGGATTTGAAATAGTAGTCAATTTATGGTTCTTAGGAGCAGAAGGTAAGAACAAAAGGTTCTGTCATTAAGAAGTTTGTCAGGGACTGCTTTTACATTATGTTTAATGGATAAGAATTTGTGTATTTTCAATTAATTTAATGTTACTTAACTAGCATAGAACAAAGAATAGATTCCATTGAGCTAGAAAGACTTTCTCTTTATTGCATTGTCTACAGTAGGAATTTTTCAAAATATTTTCCTCTTTTGGTAGCAGCCTTTCCCGTATTCAATTCCTATTGAACTTAAGGACCCTAATGTGGACAGCTGTCCAGGCAACCTAATCTGGCTGTTCACCTGCAATTGTCAATATAAATGTAAAAAAAATGTTTCTGTAATTGCACAGTAGCATCTGGGGTGCTGACTGGTCACTCTTGTTGGAAAATATTCTATTTCGCCTCATTTTAGAGTGGGAGGAAGTAAAGAGAAATTGCAACAGTTGTTTTAGCATAAAATAGAGAGTAAGACACCCATACTCACTAATTTCATGTAGACTTAACTGTAAAAAAACCTTTCATGTTATAGTTCTGCCAACAACTAATTAGATGCCACTCTCCTTTGACCCTTTAATATAACTTTCATTGACTATATGCCATAAATCCATATTCTTTTTTTTTATTTGTTTGAGAGGTGTGACCTTCTGTAGCTTAGGAGGCTAGCTTTCTTCTACCACTGCACTGTCTCAGATATTATGAGCATTTTTGCCTGCAGCTGATGAATAACTCCTAGAAGCTTAGAATTGAAACTAAAACTTTTAAATTTCTGGCTCCTGTCTAGAATGTATGCATGTGTTTGTGTGCATGCACGTAATTGTGAGAAGGGCATAGGAAGAATGATTTAGCAGGGGTGCTCAACCCCTGGCCTGCAGGCCAGATTCGGCCCATGGTGTTGTGTCATCCAACGTAGGGGGCTCCCTTTGGTCTGGAAATTTGGCAGTGTGGGAACAGTGGCTAAATTTCCAGAGCCATGCAGACCCCTAGATTCTGTGTGCTGGATGGGGGTGCAAGGGCAGTGCCAGGCGTAATCCTGGCATGTGGGATGACAGAAGGGGGCAGTACCAGGTCTCAGTACGTGGAGCATTGAGGGGCAGTGCCTGGCATCAGGGCCCTATATGTCCTATGGAGTGGTCTTGCACCACTCATGTGGCCACAGGGCCTAAAGGTTGAGCACCAGTGATCTAGAGAAATGTTGACTGGATTCAGGGATAAGCATATGGAACCAACTTCCCAGGGAAGTGGTCCTCGCCCCTACCTTGGGCATATTCAAGAGGAGGTTGGATGATCACCTGTCTGGGGTCTTGTGAACCCGGCATTCATTCCTGCCTGTGGGAGGGGGTCAGGCTAGATGATCTGTTCAGGTCCCTCCTGACCCTAGCTACTATGAAACATTCAGGGATTTAACTTAATCACATAGATGTGACATCATTACCAGATAGGACTCAGTTTTCATGTGTGTCCTGGTGCAGAACAGCTGGGACTTATTTTACACGTTGTAAAGGCAGGTAGTGGGATTCATCAGGAAATGCAGTTAGGAGCTAGTTGTAGGTTAAAGTTAAGGCATTAGTGAATTAATGTTACAAAGATCATACTTTCATTTCTACGGTTGTCGCACCGTAATTCAGCCATTTCCTGTGGCCTGACTTCCTACATGCTGCTGTCAAGATTCTCTTTGGGCAAGTCTGTGCAGCAAGTGGCTTGGAGTTTCAAATGGACTTGATCAGCTTATGCTTGTTCAATGGCCCTTACACACAGCTGGAGAGAATTGGATAATACCTGCCCTGTGGCCTAGTGATTAGAGTACTGTCTAACAAGGCAGGAGATATGCAGATTTGAACCCCCTGCAGGGTGACAGGGAGGGTTAAAACCTTGGTCTCTAGATTCCTGGGTGAGCACTCTTAAGTACTAGGCTTAAATTGTCTCTGGATTTAGAACTCGGATACCTTATTACCACCCTCAGATGGACCACAACCTTTCCATTTGATAATAGGCTAATTTATTGATACACAATGAAAACAGAAAAGAATAGAAACAATCAAGCAGTTCTTTGTATCTGCCAAAATCTAGGGCTGTCATCAGAGTCAAAGTACATCTGACCAGGATGCAGTCTTTACTCTGAGGGTCTCTCTTAGGTGTCAGGTGTTAGCATGTCAGCAGGGAGGTGGAATGCTGAGACCCTGGATGAAACAGGCTGGTGGTGTGCTTTCTGTCCATGGTGGCCTTGGGGACCCTTCCCAGGGGATAGGGGGCAGGGGATCCCTCTTGGGGACTCTCTCAGGAAGGAGGGATGGGAAGGGAGGGCTCCCTTTGTTATTCTCAAGTCTCTGCTTTTCTATTCTCCTTCCCTCCTGATGAGTATTGATTCATGGCTGTTGCTGGTTGGTCTCTGTGTTCGTCACACAGCCACATCGCTCATCACATGCAGGCATACTAATTTGGGCTTTCCGGACCTTCTCCTAATTTGGTCTGTTCCCCCAAAATGGGGACTTGACCCCCCCCCCCCCAAACTCTGGGGCCTTGTTAGCTAGTGCCACCCTTGTCTCGTGTTATGGAACAGTGTGGTACATGCCCCCCTCTTTCCCAGGTTGTGTGTGTATCTGTGTGGCCTTGTTGTGTTAGACAGTGTGTCTGCTTCCAGGGCTGTGTGAAACTGTATGCGAGACCCAAGGTTTTTAGAAATCAATTAAGCCCTACTGCCCATCTTGACCCATTCTAATACATATACATATACCTATCCACCAATTCCCAAAAGCAAACCTTTAACTACCATTTTTATTACCATTTCTATTTCAACAATCAAGTATACCAAGCCTCTTTAAGCTTAGAGCATGGGAGGCCTCTCTCCTGTGGTGTCTAATGTATTAATCAGAGATTCTTGACTGACTAGAGTTTGAAAATTATGGTCAATGAATACAAGAGTAAAGAGCTGTGTACCTGCTTGGTAGTTATCTATCGGATGCTTGGGTTGTCCACACTACATGTTCAGTAGGATTGCAAACTTTGTACAAGGACCAGTATTTATTATTATGCAGTTGTGTAAGTGCATTTGGATGCACAAAATGAAATAGGATTTTTTCTTATGTTTTTAATGTGCATGGAAAAAGACCCTGGAAATAAGAGTAATTGTATATTAGTTAAGACTTCCCTAAATTCACTTAAACTCAGATTTGCATTTTGATAAAAGCCAGAGGTATGTTTCAAATTGAGAAAGTAATACGTAGCAGGGGCAGGTGCAGAAGGTTAACCTAAACCAGTGTTTCCTTAGCCTTTGACACCTGGAAGGTGTATCTACACTACATGTTTAGTGCCAAGTAGATTAATTAGCTCCACAGTAAATGTCTCAGCGTCTACATGGGCAGGGCAGTTAGGCTGGAGTAAACTAATAAGCTCCGCAGCAGGATAGTACTTGTAAATATAAGTACTGTCCTGCTGCAGAGTCTTTTTACTATGCAGCACCATACATGTAGACGCTGGAGGGCCTGGATGGGGCACGAGGGTGCTTCAGTGCAGGAGTTGCCTGCTGGCTAGCTACACACTGAAGCACACTTATATCCCAGCCAGCCCCTCTGCAGTATGTTGAGCTAGGCAGGAGCAGCCCCAGGCTTGCTGGCTGACCCCTGGGGCCCTCTGGTAGGGCTGCTCTAACCCAGCTCAACAGTGCTGTGCTGGGCACATGTGAAATGCAGTGCCTGGGAAGCAATAAACTCTGGAGCAGTGAGCTCTGGAGTTTATTGCTTTGCATTAATGCGCTCGTGGAGCATACTTTTTTCTGGTTTAAAATTGATAGCACACTTAATTCACTGGTCCATGATCCACATCTGGTCTGTACGCCCAATCTTGCTGTGTGAGACTGGCATGGCAGGGACCAAATCCAGCCCATTTTTTGTAGAACACCCTTTGGGAATCACTGATCTAAATATTTTGAAAATCCCACTTGAAGAGCGTACCATTAAAAAAAAAAAAAAAAATTACCCTCCTGTTTTTCAGTGGTGGTTGGTTTATTTGATCATTTATAATCCTTAAACAAATGAGCTGTTGAAAAGATGAAACTGAAACAGAAATGTGTGTAGTTTTTTTAAACCACTGGTTTTCAACCTGTGGTCTGTGGACCCCTGGGGGTCTGCAGACTGTGTGTACGGGGTCTGTGAAAGATGACTACCATCAATCAAAAATATGTAGATAACCACGTTTACAATTCACAGGGCTCCACACCTCCATTCAATGCATTTTAGGGGTCTGCAAATGAAAAAAGGTTGAAAACCACTGTTCTAGACCATAACTAGCTTGGATTCCAAGTTTAGAATTTTTCACATAAATGCCTCACTCTTAAAGGCAGTTAACCCCTGTTCTGTTTATTGTTGGTGAGAGAACTCTTAATGATAATTGAAATGTTTTAGGATACAGTGACAAACAAGAGAATGAGAAACGTCAATGTTCTTTGAGACTTTTGCAGGGTCTGGTGGGTTCTTTGAAATTCCTTTCTGTAAGTCATCATTATTATATTTCTTTTGCTACAGAAATTTCTAGACTCAACAGTTACTACTTTAGATAACTTCACTTTCTGATAGCTTTCCTCACTGTATCTAGAATGCTTGTTCTGAAGTGTTGAGTATTGTCACAACAGTTTATATCAAATGAGAGTGATTGTAAGGAGTTGGAAGATAAAATTATTATTGTACTTGTACATTTGATGCTCAGATGCTATGGTGATGGGCTCTATAGAAACCTACTTTTTAACTTAACTGCCAAGATTGCAGTTCGAAACCAGTCTATCAATAATCAGCTTCACATGCAGGGTTGGGGCCAGTAATGGAGGAAGAACTAATATTATCATGCCTTTTAATGTTATGTGCTAATGAGGAAAAGAACATTAACTAAAAATTTATTAATCCAACCACTGAATTTGTAATCTCTCCCTTCAGAAATATTTAAATCTTCTGAATTTTCTTTTTTCTTAAAGAATAACTTCACAACTAAGTTTTCTCTTTTGTTTTTTTTCTGCTGTAGTGCCAGATTCATTAGCAACCCCTCTAATTTATGAACTATGCTGAAGAAAATAATTGCTCAAATTTGCATGGATTTTCATATCTTTTATTTAATCAGATTGCTGGTATATTAGTCTACATGCAGTTTATTCTTTTCTGGAGTGCTCCATCCCTAGGTAAACATCC